ACATCAAGAAGCAAAATGCCGAGAAGCAGCTGCTGGTGGCCAAGGAGGGGGTGAGGCCTGCTTTCCTGTGGGCCTCCTCTGCCCTCTCCCCTCCTTCCTGCCCTCTTCTTTTTGAACCCCCCATTCTTCTCTGCTTTACCCTGCCCCCCCCCTCTTTGAGTGAAGAGATGCATTGACAGTGAGTTCTGTTTCTTTTTCTAATGTCCACTTTCTAATTTTTGGAGGAGGGACTGAGTATTGAGGTACGCCCTCTTGTCTTCTGGGCACGATAAAGCAAGTAGGAGTGGGTAGAAGGCAAGCTTCCTCAGCTTTCCAAGCTGCCATGGGGACAGAAGACCCTCCTGACACTGGAACCCTTTACTTCTCAGTTTCCTCCAGTCCACCTCCTTCCTCCCCTTGCCTTACTTCACTTTTCTAATTTCCTCTTTCTCTTCCTTTTCCTTGTGAAATTTAAGTGTGCTAGGAGGATGGGGACCCAGCTACAGGAAGGCCTTATTTCTTCCAACCATGACTCCACTCTCTTTAAGCTGGGTACTTCATCTTTTCAGGCCGAGAAAATAAAAAAGAAGAGAAACACGCTGTTTGGTACCTTCCATGTGGCCCACAGCTCCTCCCTGGATGATGTGGATCATAAGATCTTAACTGCTAAGTAAGTAGCACCAGGTATCAGCTCCACAATGGCCGTCCTTAGAGCTTGACCCCAATCCCATCTCCTCACAATGGAGTGACATCTCTGCTCTCCTGCCCAAACTGATGCAGCTCCCACTTTGCTCTTCAATGTATGAATTTATTGTGGTTTTTAGTCAGCCATGCCTATACCCCAGTGCGTTCCTCCGAAAAGTGACCTCGTTCTTCTTGGGGCGTCCCCACGGCCCACAGCTGCAGTTCTCTCTCTTATCTCCTCAGGCAAGCACTAAGCGAGGTGACAGCAGCACTGAGGGAGCGCCTGCACCGGTGGCAGCAGATCGAGATCCTCTGTGGCTTCCAGATCGTCAACAACCCTGGCATCCACTCCTTGGTGGCCGCCCTCAACATAGACCCCAGCTGGATGGGCAGTACTCGCCCTAACCCTGCTCACTTCATCATGACCGATGACGTGGATGACATGGATGAGGAGATTGTATCACCCTTGTCCATGCAGTGTAGGTGACCTCTTTGTAGGGAGGAGAGAAGTAGCCTTGCAGACAAGATGAGAAGTCTGTTACCTCTGCTGTGCTTTACAACCATGGGGAGGAGGAAAGAAGTCAGCTCCTACCATTGGTTAATAAAACAATTCACACTGCCATATTCTTTATAGCTGTCCTTTTAGTGTGTTTCCCCTTGCTATATGCCTTCTCTGTCCTCTGTCTGTGTCTCTTTCTTTATTCTGTTTTTCTGTTTAGTCCTCCTTTTTCTTCTCCCTACTATCTACCTTTATGAAAAAAATAGTCTTTAGAGACTTTTTATTTATAGTATAAAATAATATTCATTTGGACTGTTTGTGTTTATGTATTTCACTTTATGTTTCTTATTTTTCATTACTAAAGCAGGTGAATAGAATGATGTCTCTTTTCTTTGCCTTTCTGCGTGAGAACCCCATATAGTAGCAATCCTTTAAAGTGGTCTATCCCTAAAGTCTCCAAGCTGGGAGGCATTCTTGCGCAGGAGGGAACTTGTGTACAAGTATGCCTGACTATCTCCCGAACTTGGGCTCCTCCTACCCCCATCCCTGGCCTGGTTCTTTTTTCTTTCCCCCAAAGGTGACAAGGGCTTAGGAGAGCACAGCCAGAAGGGACAGTATTCTGTGGCAATGCTTTAGTGACCGCCCCCTTCTGGTCCACAGCTGAATTTTTATTTGGATGGGAGATTATTTTAGCCAAATGAATTAGGCGTATCTATATAAGGGTGTTCTCGTGGGCCCATACCTTCCAGTGCAGAGGGGCTTGCAGGGCTGGTTTAGGCTCTCACTGTCAGGAGGCCATATACATTCCCTGCCTCCCTGATGGACAGGCTCTTTCATCAGGCCAAATTTATATTTCAGACAAAACTTACTGTAAATGTCTGCTTTTTTTTCTTTTTTCTTTTTTTTTCTTCTTAATTTTGGTTTTTCGAGACAGGTTTCTCTGTGTAGCTTTGTGCCTTTCCTGGAACTCACTTGGTAGCCCAGGCTGGCCTCAAACTCACAGAGATCCACCTGGCTCTGCCTCCTGAGTGCTGGGATTAAAGGTGTGCGCCACCACCGCCCGGCTGCAAATGTCCTTTTTAATGAGCTGATCCTGGAACTTGCTGTTTAGTCCAGGCTAACCTTGAATTTCTGATAATTCTCCTGATTTCCACCCCACCAACTGTTGGGATTATGAATATGTAGGACTATGTAAATTTTTTCAGTAGTACAATAGGCCAAGCCTCTTTGTTTCCTTGATTTGATATCTTTTTTGTTTTGTTTTGAATTTTGGTTGTTTGAGACAGGATCTCACTATATAGCTCTGGCTGGCCTGAACTCTATGTAAACCATACTGGCCTCAAAATCAGAGATCTGCCTGCCCCTGCCTCCCAAGTGCTGGAATTAAAGGTGTGTACCACCATACCTGGCTTGATCTGACATTTTGTTAGGTCTTTAGCCAAAGGCCTAACAAGGTTTGGGTTACTAGTAGGCATTTCTAGATCCTAACTTATTGATCTAAAGGCTACTATGCTCTCTAGGTTAGGAGGAACCTTTGTTAGCTATGAAGGTTCTGCTCTCTACTCATTCCCTGTCCCCAGCCCTTCCTGTATCCCATTGATACACAGGCCAAAACCCTTCACAAATCAGATTCTCTTCTCCTTTTGGCCTGGCTGTTGACCCTAGATGCTGCCTGGCTGATGGGGCGTAGGTTCAGTGACTGCTCTCTCTGCTCTACATCCGCCGGCTCGGATGATCAGTCCCTCTGGAAATACCCGGGTTTGAGGAGCCCCTTTGGGGCTTTTGTTTTTCCGATTTTTGGAACTAAACCAACACTCCTATCCAATGGGCCCCTTCTTTTGCCTGCCTCACACCCCTGCCTGCTCCCTCTGTCCCCTCAGCACTTTCCCTACTAACTGAAGGGAGAGGTTCGGGAGTAATAAGAATCAGCCTGCTCAGCTGAGGACTGGAGAGAAAACATCTATGGTGATGGAAGGCTTAGGCCTTTCCCTTCAACTCAGCTACAGATGTCCGAGTGGACCTTCTTCCAGCTGGGCTGCCAGGGAAGGAAAGGAAAGAACACTCCTTCTTTTTTTCTTTTTCATGTTTCTTCCCTTTTCTCACGGTTTCTACTGCCCACCTGCTTCCCTTTCTATTATGGGTGTCTTTCTCTCCCAGCATTTCATGCTTTGAAATGACCAGCTGTATAAGCCCTGCTGCCTAACTCTCCACACTGTGGAATTGTGTTCTCTCCATGGGTTGGCCTTGTAAAACTCTGCCACCCTAGTAACCTCTGACTTTCTCCAACTTTTAAGGAATAAGTACTTTTTTTTTTAAGTTGGAGTTGGGATTGAACCCAAAGATATGCTCTGACACATCCCTAGGTTACCTGGTACCCAGGTTAGGGTGATAATTATCCTACAAGAGCCTGGTTTGCAGCACTGATCCCGGGTCTAGGTCATTGTCATTTATGTATGTATTAGAGGAAATTTGGAAAGTTAAAAAAAAAATATGTGAATAGTAGCACTGATGCCAGGTGTAGTGGTGCACGCCTTTAATCCTAGCACTCAGGAAGCAGAGGCAGGCAGATCTTTGAATTTGAGGCTAGCCTGGTCTACATGGTGAGTTCTGGGATAGCCAGGGCTACAAAGAGAAACCCTGTCTCCAAAAACAAAAACAAAAAAAGGCATTCATTGTCTCACCATAGCTGAATACTTTTTCTTGCATTTTTTTTTGTCAATTTAAGAGAAGATTTTATTTTTATTTGAAATTATGTAAATATTTGTGTATCTTGAGTTTGGATTTGTGCACATGAGTGCAGTACCCATGGGGGCCAGAAGGGCAATTTGGATCCCTGATGCTGGAGTTACAGGCAGTTGTGAGTTGCTCAAAGTGGGTGCTGGGAACCGAACTCGAATCCTCTTCAAGAGCAGAACATACTGTTAATAGACACCTCTTCATCCTCCTCTTGTGAATTTTTGAGAAGTGGCTAAAATATTTATTGAGTACAATGACCTGTATAGGTATTTTGGAGATGTTACTTGAAAGTCTCAGAACAACCCCACAGGATTTTACAAATACGGCTTAAATTGAGACTGTAAAGTGGCTTAGGGTCACAGCTAGAAGGAAAGGCTTGGGTTCAAGCTCTAGTGTTTTGTGTTCTAAAGTTCAAGACAATTTCACAAAAATTTTTTATCGTTCTTTGTCCCTTGAAAGTTTTTGATGTTTGTTTTGTTTTGTTTTGTTTTTGTTTTCTGGAACAGGGTCTCATTATACAGCCCAGCCAACCTTTAGCTTACTTTATAGTCTGTTGGCTTCTAATTCATAATCCTCCTGCCTTGATCTGTTAAGTGCTGAGATTACAGTTATGTCCTACCACCCCCAGCTCCAGAGCATTTTAAGTATCTTCCATGTTCATAAAATCTTTTTTATAAGCATCACTTTTAATATCTCTGCTGTCTCCCAGCAAATAGATGTATTCTCATTTTTCATCATCTCACCTTTATGTATACATCCATACAACTATTAATAATGATCCAATGAACGTGTTTGTACGTAAGTCCTTATCTGTGTTGTGGATGACCCCTGAAGTTGGCTAAAATGGAAAGGCTGGTTCTTGCTGCTCTCCCGGACCTTGCTCCGCGTCCCTATCCTGGACTGCCCTGCCTGTGTCCTCCCACTAACTAACTGCCTTGCTACTTCCCTGAATTGGCCTTAGGTCTCCTTCCACTGGAGTTGCCACTAAAACTGACCCGGGCACCTCGTCTACAATACCCCATCCTTTCAGGTCCCATAGGGGGAGGTTTCTGGGAGGTGGTGTCCTTCTCCCTAGATTGGGTATCAAAGGTCCAGAGAGGTATCCAGCAGGCATATCTTTATGGGTACCTGCATCCAACCTGGGTTGGCCAAGTCTTATACTCTCTTCACTCTCCTTGCAGCCCCCAGCCTGCAGAGCAGTGTTCGACAGCGCCTGACGGAGCCACAGCATGGCCTGGGATCTCAGAGGTTGGTAGAGGGCGAGGCTGGCCACTTCTTGACAAGTCGGGTGTCTCTGCGGCGAATGCGTAGCCTTTCATCTGGACAGTCTTTCAGTTCTGAAGGCCACGGAACCAGCCCTCCATCTGCCTCTGCTTCTTCTTCCTGCTCCTCTTCCACTACCACCATCGCCACCACCACCTCCACTACCACCACCACCACCATCAACACCGTCCATGTTCACCCTGTGTATTATCACCACAGCACTTCCTATTTCCTCCAGATGGATCCCTACCCTGACCCAAGCCCTTCTGACAGCACCGCTGTGATGGCTGGGCACTCAGAGAGCTTGGGGTATCAGCTATCTCTCTTCCTACTGCTTTCTCTTGGCCTCTGCCTGCTGCCTGCTGCTTGTTGACCTCTGGGAGGTGTGATGGGGATCCCCCTTGTCCTTTCCTTTCTCAGTTCTTCGATTCCTTATTAAGGTCAGCTTAATTTCCTACACCGGTCTTCCCTTTGCTGTTTGGGGTTTTCTGACTCTGAAAATGAGTAAAGGTCCTCTTCCCTCATAATCCTATAACACTTGTTTAAATTATGCACTTTCAGATCAGTTATCTCATTTCCTTTACTCCTTAAACAAATGTTCTCTGTGTCAGGTACTCCTGAACGTGATAAGATGCAATCCCAGTAATCATTACTTACAGTCTTATCTGGGAAAGGCGCACAAAGAAATTATGAACTGATTTTTATAAGTGCTCTGGGGTACTGAGGAAGGAGGAATGACTAACAGTGTGTATCTAGGTGGAATGCTTCACAAAAGAGATGACATTTGTGGTGAAGCCCTGTGCAGAGAGAAAGGAAATAGCATTCTAGCTTGAGGAAATGGCATGTGCAGAGGAATGGAGCCGTAAGAACATGGTATAGATTGGTAATGAAGGTATTGCAGATATGTTGGAGAGGAGTGGTAGATGAGGTCAGGAGGATAAAAAGTTCAGAAAGGCCTTTTATCTTTTCAGAAATGGAACGCCATAAAACGGTTTCTAAGTGAAAGTGAATTAGCTATACTTCCATTTTGGAGGACTCAGTGGGTAATTACAAGTGTTTGCTGCTAAGCCTGATGACCTAACTTTGAACCCCAAAATCCATATGGTAGAAGGAAAGAACCAACCCCTGGAAGTTGCCCTCTGACCTCCACATCTTTGCGATGTGTGTGTGCATGTGCACACATACACAAAACAAATATGTGTAATCAAATAAAAATTAAAGTCTTTCCATTGTAGAGATAACATTGTAGTGGCCTGTATGTAGGAAGGAAAGAGAGGACGAAGGAGTTTTGAAGCATTGCAGCATACTGATTGGGGAAGTACTGAGATCTTGGCATGGGAAGATGATTCACTTGTAACTGGCTAGAGATACAGAAAGAAGAATCTAGGTTTCTAGCTTGACTAAGAAAATGAACACAACCTTCATGGAATTACACTACAGGAGAAGGAATACAGATTTGAAAATTTGGGGCAAGAAAAGTTAAGCAGGTACTCAAATACTTACTTGTTAGAGTAGGAAGTTAAGGCTCTGAAAGGGCAGTTTTCCCCAGGCTGCAGAGATTATTAGGACAGAGCATAGACTAGAACTTGACTTTTCATTCAGGACACTTGTTCTTCTGCAAGGTATCAGTAAGTGACCTAGAAAAGAGTTGAAAGTTTCTCCTCAGCCTGGTCTGGCAGCTCATTGACTTTCCCTGCTAATATGTCAAAAATGTTAGGCCTAGGTCAAAGGTAGTAGCCTTGACCTTGAATGGGACAAGCTTAGGGGACTCTAAGAAAGGACTCCTCTTTGGAAGTTCATCTCATCCCTGAAATTGTGACTGTAGTCCACTCCTGGTTGCCAAGCTGCAGCCTGCTTACTCTGTTGATTTCTTTTGGTCCGGCCTCACTGTGGCTGCCCAGCTCTCCATCTCTGCTTCACGAACCTTTGGACAGTTATCCTTGAGGGCTGTTCCTTTTGCCTCCACAAAGGAGCTGCCCTTTCCAGGATTATTGCTCAGCAGAGCTGCCCATTTTCACTCTCATCCTCATTTTCATCTGGAAGTTTGGGAAGAGAGACTGTTCCTCCCCATACTTATGGAGAGGACTGGAATGGGTTGGGGAAGATAGGGGTTGCTATAGTTTCATGCTCTGAGGTCTAAGCAGAGGGCAGTGGGGAGGAAAGGGTGGGTAGTACCTGCATTCACCTGGCCTGTTCACTGCTTAATTTTCTTTTGCACCATGCACCAGAGGATCATCTCTAAAGGCAAACAGGCTCTCTAGTAAGGTTAGTAGCTTGGGATGGGAGTCCAAGGCAGCCTAGCCTTTGGGGAGGGATAACTCTGGCCTAAAAGGTCTCCGAAGTTCAGGGAGGGAAGGTGAGCTTGCCTTAATGGACCTTTTCCCTCATATATCTACTAAGGCTTTCTCCTAGGTTCTTACTTTTCTGTGGGATTCTTAGCATTTAATTGATGAGGGAGGCTCAGAAGGATGAGGATTAAAAACAAGTTCAGGACTGTGGGCCAGGAGAAGTGAGACTGGGAGGTCCAAGCTTTTTTATCTCTTTTCCTTGGTGCTATAAAGATAGAAATTGCTAGGATCCTTATCTCCTCAGTTTAAAAGAGCCACCATTTTTAGTGTGGCTTCTCAGAATGTCTTGATAGTTTCTAGGTGGTTTATGTTTATGAGGAGGACTGTTAAGTGCTTAGAGAAACAAGGACACTTTTTTATTGTGTAAGATGTAGTCCTGGCCTCAAACTTGCTATGTAGTTAAGGGTAATCTTGACTCCTGATCCCCCTGTCTCTACTTCCCAGTTGCTGGGAGTATAGGTGTGTGGTACCACATCTGCTTTTTGTTTAGTTTATTTTGTTTTTGAAACATGGCAATCCTATGTAGCCCTGACTGTTCATCCTGGAACTCACTATGTATGTACAGAAGGCTGGCCTTGGATTTGGGATAGTTCTCCTGCCTTAGCCTTCTAAGTACTGGGATTACAAATGTGCATTTGGTGAAGATACATTTAGATAGAAGCAAGGACCAGTGTCAGATGTATAAAGCCAAATAGAAGACTGAATATTTATAGACAGTAGATTATGTGGCAGAAGCAGTATTTGTAGTAGAGGAGCTGGAGCTAGTATTGTTCCCTTTCCACCTGCAAACAGGAAGGTACTGGCCCATGGAACTGCTGCTCGATTAGTTGTTCCCTGAGAAAGAAACCCACAATAGCTATGAGCCAACCCCCTTACTTTTGCCTGTTTCAGAAGGCTGATGCCCTTCCTAACCTTTGACCCCTGGCTTCCATCTTACCTGGTCCTATGTTTCCTCTCCTACTCTTCTAACTCATATGTTGATACTTTTCCTTTGGCCTTCTCCTCTGCCTCTGTTGTGAGCTCTCAGGCCTCTAGGAAAGTGAAGGAGAATTCAAGATTAACAGGGTGTCTTAATATTCACCCCTTTGTTGTAGAGGCAGGAGCAGTGGCATCGGGGATTTGCTCATGGCCTTCCTGGGCTCAGCTAAGCCCTTAAAGGGTTTCTAGTCCTTGAACTAGAATCTGTGTATATGTCCAGTGTGTAATGGCATGGTCCCATAATTCAGACCTGCAAAGAAAGCCTCTTATGAGCGGTCCCATATTGGCCTTGCAGTTTGGCTGGCTTCATTGCCTTTATTTCTACAGTACGTTGCAGTTTCCAAGTGCTTTGTTAACATTTTTGTTCCTCCCAACAGTCTTGTGAGATAATTAGTTTGATATCATCTTCACTGGGCAAAAATTGAGGCTCAGCAAAGATAGATGATTTATCTAAGATCACACAGAAGGGAGTGAGCTCTTTTCAACCCCTGTACCTTTAAAGGCCAATGTTCTATCTTCCTATGCCTCTCTACGTTCTCCCTGTCAGCAGAGCTCTGAAACAAACCCCACACTTCCTGCTTTGATTTGAACTCTGCAGAACTTCTCCATGACCTCCTATAAATCCTGTGAGAGGGTAGGAAGAGGGATTGTTTGCAAGGCTGTTCTAACTTCTCCTCCCCAGCCTTGGTCAGGTGTGCTGACTGCATGTGTCCTGTTCTTTGGAGCCTGGCCCAGACTGCATGTATCCCAGGTGTGATGGAATTAAGTGGGGGAGGAAGGCATGGAAAATGGTAATTCAGAGCAACATGCAGCTTCGATAGTAGCTTAGGGTTGAGTCCTAGGGAACTTTACCAGCTATGGGAAGGCGGATTATTTAAGAGGATGCCTATGGAATTTGAACCTATGGTTTCTATCAGTGTAGCACCTTGGTATTCATCAGGGAAGGGTCCCAGCCATTGTAAAACTGTTTGCCTGATGATGATGGTATATAATAACATTTGTTTTTGTTTCTTTTTGTTTGTCTCGTTTCATCATTGTTCCCTTTCTCCTGTTTCTACCCACTTTCCCTCTCTATAATCCTACTTTTCCTCTCTTTCTTCTCCCCCTTTTTGCATTTCCCTATATTCTATATTCCTTTTTCCCTTCTGTCCTATATCTTTCAGGGATTTGACCCATTCCGATTCGGAGTCCTCCCTCCACATGAGTGACCGCCAGCGTGTGGCTCCCAAGCCTCCTCAGATGGGCCGTGCTGCAGATGAGGCTCTCAATGCCATGCCTTCCAATGGCAGCCATCGGCTGATTGAGGGGGTCCATCCGGGATCTCTGGTGGAGAAACTGCCCGACAGCCCTGCTCTGGCCAAGAAGGCATTGCTGGCGCTGAACCATGGCCTAGACAAGGCCCACAGCCTGATGGAGCTGAACCCTTCAGGCCCACCTGGTGGCTCCCCACTTTTGGATTCTTCCCATTCTCTTAGCCCCAGTTCCCCAGACCCAGACACACCATCACCAGTTGGGGACAACCGAGCCCTGCAGGGTAGCCGAAACACACGGATTCCCCACTTGGCAGGGAAGAAGGCTGTGGCTGAGGAGGATAATGGTTCTATTGGTGAGGAGACAGACTCTAGCCCAGGCAGGAAGAAGTTTCCCCTCAAAATTTTTAAGAAGCCTCTTAAGAAGTAGGCAGGATAGGGTGGCAGTGTGGAGACAGCCTGTCCTTCCCTGGGTCTTCTGCCTCCCCCCTTCCTTTCTTTGAGATATCTGGCCCCTAGAGTGGGGCATGGAGGGGCTGGCCCAGGGGCCTGGGCACTGTACATACCTGCCCCACTCATTCTCGGTCCTTCATCATTATTTATTAACTGACCACCATGGCCGGCCTGCCCTGAAATCCTTCCTTCCAACCATGGCTGCTGTCACACCCTCTCCACTCCAGTGCATGTCTTAGTGCTGTCCCCTCAGTTCCCAGCTCCACCATCTCTGCTGTCCCAGTTTTGAGGTTTGGTTTTGTTTCTGTCTCCTGCTTTCAGGCTCCTCTCCCCCATTAGTCCCCAACTTTCCTAGCAGCTGTGGGGAAGATGGGAGGAGTAACTTCCGACACCTGTACCTCAGATCTATTCATCCTACTCATAAGTCTGCTGCCCTAGACTAGGCCAGGGTCCTAACCTCTGGGGTTTGTTCTGTGGAAGTATGGTGGGCTGGAGGGAACCTCATCCTGGAGCTCATTTGGATCTCCAGGGCTCCATTCAGGGAGTGAAGCAACTCCCAGGGAACAAGTCACCAGAGTCGAGGAGAGACCAGGCTTGTATTGATGGGGGAGACGTCTCTTAGTTGGAAGATGAGTAGATGCCAAAGCTGTGGGCTGTAAGGCACTTGCCATCTCTCTCTTGCCCTGCCCACTCCTGCCTTCCTCTTACCTCTGCTCCCCTCTATTGCAGGAGTGTATCTCTTAAGAGGTGCTGCCCTGACGCTCCTCAAGCATCAGTACTGCTGGGGCTCAGGACAACCAGCTCCCCTGGCTATGGGAGCCACAGTCATGACACAGGGCTCTTGTGGAGCCCTGGGCAAGGATGTTGTATTTGAACCAAAAGACAAACGGTTTTAAAGTAAAAAATAATAAAGCAAAAATCAATAAATCTCCTGAATTTCCCAAGTGCCTGCACAGCATCCTCCCTTGTCAGACTCCATTTTCATGTTACTGCATAGCCCGGGCCAGAGACTCAAATGGACACAGCTGTTGGGGAAGGGGTGGTGAAGGGAGATGGTATGGATGTGAAGGCTGCAGTGTGTGACCACTTCTCTCCCCACGCCTCCCATCTTCCAGACAACTCTCTCCTGTACCTGGTTTTGCTATGGCTGTAAAGGTATTTTCCCTCTGCCCCATTCTGTCATGCCTTTACCCTGAGATCCTAATCTGGGCCTGGGTTGGGTGCAACTGGGGCTGGTCTTAGGCGGGTGCTAGGCTATAGACTGCCTTGTAGCCCCCTGGACACCCTCACATGGGTTTTTCTGTGTTATTTCATAAGATTCTTTGAAGTCCAATAAAGCATGTAGGAGATTTTAACCTCTGCTGGCTGTGACTCTCTGATTGTGTTCTCGGTGGCTTACAGAAAGGATGACGGGGCTGGTGAGGCGG